TCAACTTAAAAATACAACCAGATAAGTGCGAATTTTTTCGTCGCGAAGTAATGTATTTAGGACATTTAATAACTGAATTTGGTGTCAAACCGGACGAAAAAAAGGTATGTGCTGTTACAGATTTTCCTATACCCAGAACACAAAAAGATATTAAGAGCTTTTTGGGTCTCACTGGTTATTATAGACGCTTTATAAAAAATTTCAGTGCTTTAACACAACCTTTAACAAAACTGCTGAGGAAAAATGTTGAATTTAATTGGACAAGCATTCAACAACAGTCATTTGAGAACCTGAAATCAATACTTTGTTCAGAACCAATACTTCAGTATCCAGATTTTACCAAACCCTTTGTCTTAACAACGGATGCTAGTAATTATGCAATAGGGTCCATACTTTCTCAAGGTAAAGTACCAGATGATTTACCTATTGCTTATGCTAGTCGTACCTTGAACAAAGCGGAATCAAACTATAGCACAACAGAAAAAGAATTACTTGCAATTGTATGGAGTGTTAAACACTTTAGACCATATTTGTACGGAAATAAATTTTTCATTTATACGGATCATAAACCACTCACATGGCTATTTAATGTAAAAGATCCCGGATCAAGACTCGTTAGGTGGAGATTAGCATTAGAAGAATATAGCTATGAAATTATTTATAAACCAGGTAAATTAAATCAAAATGCTGATTGTTTAAGTCGTCCTCCTTTAACCATATCTGAAACAAATATTTGCGAAGAAAACAAAAACCCGGCAACAATCACCTTACAAATAAACAAAATGAGTAAAGAAAATAATGACACTTATTCACAGTTCTTATCTAAATCCGAAACTATATTAATAACAAATGATAATATAAAAGAAACAAATGAAAAGATTACATCATTTTCACAAAATTTAGCATTGTTTGTTTCCGTAGATTTAAATTTTAATGAGATCGTTCAGAAACAAATAAATAAACAATTCAGTCATATAGAAAAATTGAAAGCCAAAAATCCAAGACTAAATGACATTATATATATTTCTGATCAAAATAAAAACTTTTATTACATATTTATAAAAAATAATTATTGGGACAATACCTCTTATGAAGATATATTTAATTCCCTAATAAAATTAAGAGACTGGTTATTAAACGATAAAATATTAAAAATTTGCCTACCCAGAATAACTTTTAGCTACGATAAATTAAGTTGGGGAAAAATTAGATCTATGATTAGATTTATTTTTAGAAAAACTGATATATCTATTATCATTTATCATGATATACTAACAAATCCTGAACCTGAGGAAATAACTACAATATTACAAGAGAATCACACTAGTCCTACGGCTGGACACTCTGGTTTTCATCGGACATACAATCGTATAAAAAAACATTTCAAATGGAATAATATGAAAAATGATATTAAAAACTTTATAAAAACCTGTGAATCTTGTCAGAAAAATAAACTCGTTAGAAAAAAATTCGTAAAGCCCATGGAGATAACAACAACAAGCTCAAATCCATTAGAAAAAATATTTTTAGATATAGTAGGTCCTTTACCTTTAACCGAGTCAGGTAATAAGTTCATATTAACATTACAAGATGACTTAACAAAATTTTCTCAAGCTTACGCAATTCCGAATCATGAAACCAAGACTATCGCTGAAAATCTGGTTCGTGGATTTATTTGCAAGTTTGGAAAACCCGATATAATAGTTACTGATCAAGGCCGAGATTTTACTTCCAAATTATTTTCTCAAATCGCCAAGCTTTTTAAAATCAGACATATAAATTGTACTGCTTATCATCCAGAATCAAATGCTGCATTAGAAAGGAGTCACGCTACTTTAGCAGACTACCTTAAACATTATATTAAAGCTGATCAATCCGATTGGGACGAATGGCTAGATTTTGCTATGTTTTCATATAATACAACTAATCATACTTCAACCAAATTCACACCATATGAACTAATATTTGGATATACACCTAATCTACCTAGCAGTATAATACGACCAGTAGAACTCAAATATACATATGAAGATTATTTAGATAATTTAACACTTAAACTTAGAAAATCTCATGAGTTAGCAAAAACGAATCTATTAGAATCTAAAGTAGTCAGTAAAAAATATTATGACCAAAAGATTAATGACACCGTTTTCTTAGAAGGACAATTAGTATATCTCCAAAATGAGCAAACAAAGAAGGGTCAAACCAAAAAACTTACACAAAATTATAATGGACCTTATAAAATTCTAGAGATAAATTCTCCTGTCAATTGCACAATTTTAGTAAATAAAAAACCAATAAAAGTTCACATGAATAGATTGAAACATGCTTTTGTTTCAGGTATGCAATAATATGGCTGACAAATAGTGAACAAATTCACAAGAAATATACCAATACTCCTATCAACAAATCACCTGGAATCTATTACGAACACATAAAAAATGTTCAATTTATTGAAACTCATTGGAACATATTAAGTCATATTCCTTTACAACCTTTTACAGACAAATTAAATTTTGTAGATCTCACCTATCAAAAAACATTAAGACTGTGTCAAAACAAACCAGTTCTTATTGAATTACGATTATGTGATACTTCACTAAAACTCTTAGGACAAATCATACCTAGACTCTTTCAAGATGAACAAACTTTAAAAAACATAATTCTGCATGAACATTTTAGACCAAAACGCGCTCTATTTAATGCAATTGGATCTGTTTTCAGGACCTTATTCGGTACCTTAGACAGTGATGATGCTGAAAATTTCAATAATGCTATTAACAAAGCTGAAAGTAACGAAAATCATCTTCTTGATTTACTAAAACAACAAATTCATGTAGTAAAAGCCACGATTGCAAATTTTAATAACTCTATTACAAATCTAGACCGAAACAAAGTGATTTTTGATAAAAATTTTGAATCAATTACCAATTACACAGATAAAATGAATAATAAATATTTTAATTTAGATTTAAAACAAAAAATTGAAGAACATTTTACTTTACTAACTTTCTTTATAACAGAATTACAACAAGAATATTCTACTTTAATAAACGTTATTCTATTTGCAAGAAATAATAACCTTCATCCTTCTGTTATAACACCTGAGCAACTAATTCAAGAATTATCTAAAACGGTAACGCATTTACCTAGTACATCGACTTATCCATTTCCATTGACTATCGATTATGCTCATAAATATTTCGATATCATTTTACTTAAATATATATATTTTGATAACAAGATTTTAATTACGGTTAGTATACCTTTGGTTAGTAATACTCCTTATTCTCTTTTTAAACTAATATCTCTTCCTATAATTCATCCAACATTAAAGAGACTTACCTTTATTCTTCCATCTGTCAAATATCTTGTTCTTTCAGAAAATAGAAACATTTATGTTACTATTGATACATTAGAAGACTGTTATTCATTAGATGAAGAAAAACTTATTTGCAAAAATCCTGATACTTTCCGATTTACACACACTAATCCAATTTGTGAAACTGAATTGTTAACTTCAATAACAAACATACCATCTAGTTGCGATACTCGTATAATTCAAACAGAATATGAAATTTGGCATAAATTAAACAAACCAAATTCTTGGATATATGTTTTACCCAAACCAACAGATTTAACTTTAAGCTGTCAGACTAGTACGCCAATATCTATTGTTCTTTCAAACACAGGTATTTTTTCTACTTCGAATAATTGCAAAACTTACACCGGATCAACTATTTTGATATCTGTCTCAAATCCAAAAGAAAGTAATTTTCAGTCTATCATTCCAGATTTATCCCTTCCAGAAGTCTGTTGTGATGATATTAAGATAAATAATGAATCCAAATTACACCTTGTTCCCTTACAATTAAATAATCTCGATCGAGATGCATTAAATTTAGCAAGCCATAAACTAGATAATTTAGAGAAAATGACCTCAGAAACAAATATTAATTTTTCAGACACAATAAAAAATAGTTCTTATTTCACTTATGCAATCTTATTTTTGATAAAATGTATGTTACTTTATATTTTATACAGGATAATTAAATATTTTTACCGACGATTTCGTAGAAATCCGTCACATAGTTGTCAACAAATTACAAATTGTTTAACACTAAATATATGTCAAAGTAAACGAAAACATGTACATGAGACAGATTTAAGTATAGATTGTAAACATAATAAAGACAATAATTATAGTGAATCCAAAAAGTGTGAAGAGACTAGTTTCACAGAGACTACACCGATAAGACGAAGTGAAAGACTATCGAGACTAAAAGAAACTATTTAAATGTGTTAAAATAAAATAATAATGTATACAAATGTTTTATACCATTTAAATGAAAATTCATTTTACAATTATTTTCATTCTTACAAAAGGAGGTGTAATGTACCTACCTACTCACATGTAAGATAATTAAAGTATCTATGTATTTCTATATAGTTTTTAGTCACCTGGTATATGTTATTTACAATTATGAAAAGTTCTCATGTATAATCACTAATAATTATTTGCTGTTAGAAATCAGAATCAATACTCTTCATAAATATTTTCCTATTTAGAATAAATAAGTTTCGCTAGTTTATTCGCCTAATACTTCGTATCTATGGAATAATAGTAATTTATTTCTCTTATTTCTTTGTTCGATAAGCTATCCGTATTTGCTATTTTAATATTAATATTTGAGTCCAATCTCTTGTACTCAAATCCATCCAGAAACATCGTTAAATAATTGTAGATAACAGAACTTATAAATTCATAGTTTTAAGAAATAACAAGAGAGTGTAATTTTCATCCTCTAATATAATAAATTTATACATGTCAATATATTCTGTTTAATTCCAAAACAAAGAGTTAGTCCGGAGAAGAAATAAACGCATAGTATTCCATAACATAAGCAAAATTGGTTCAGAATAATATTTTTTAACAATAATCAGTTTTTTATAATGATTCATATTTATTTTCTGTTTTTTAATATTTTTTTTTCTTTCAGCACATTGTAGCAAACCCTGCTTAAACGGAGGAAGATGTGTGAAGCCCGAAATGTGTGCTTGTCTTAAAGGATATGCGGGACTACAGTGCGAAATACCGGTTAATACCCGTAAGTATCTGTGAATTTCTAATATAGTTGCCCCTAAGTTGATTGTGGTACACACCATAAAGATTAAGATGATTAAACAACAGATAGATACATTTCGTTTTATGGGTAAAGTTCCTACAGTGTAGAGGAAATTAAAAACAAAATTGATCTAAATAAGAAAATAATAATGATATATAATATATATAATATAAACAAATGAAAACTGAACTAACTTCGGAGTTCGTGCGAAGAGTAAGACAACTACATAAATCGGTCATATTTTGTTTATTATACGTACGCCTGTTCCGCGCTAAGCTACTCATTTGGTATTATAAAGTGGTCACAAACGGATATGAGGGTCTTCAGCGAAAAGTAAGACCACTTCTCACAAAGGCGCAAAAACATCATCCACGCAGTGCAGTAGAGAGAACCACATTACCTCGGTATCAAGGGGGAAGATGACTCATGGACATAGGTGAGCACTTTATAAACAAGTTGCTAGTTTAAGAACTTATTTTCAGGTGCAGGCTGAGACATCTACCTTACATCGAGCAATTTGCACAGTAGATAATACAATGCCGCTTAAATTGAGGAAACAATAAATGCGCATAAACCACCTAAGCAAGAAAAAATGCGTACCTGAATGAGTAAACCTCTGCAAGGACGACATCTCAATGAGATCAGCCAAGAATATGTCGACAATACAGCGTGGAAATATTGATTGACATCAGAAAAGGTGTTTCTCGAGACTGAGGGTTTCCTACTTGCCATTCAGGATCAGGTAATTCCAACTAAAAATTACCTAAAATATATTGTTAAAGATCCTCAAGTCCAAAATGACAAATGCCGATATGGATGCCAAGCCCAAGAAACTATTCAAGATCTTACCAATAACTGCCAGTTATTTGTCGGTACTGATTATAAAGAACGCCATAACTCAGAAGGAAAGATTATCCACCAAGAAATAGCCGACAAACTGGGACTTCTTCAAACCGACCATCTGACTTATTATCAATACTTCGTTGACAGAATGCTTTAAAATGACAACTACAAGCTATACTGGGACCGCACTGTGCTTACAGACCAACCAGTGGCGCATAATAGACCAGATCTCATACTAGTTAATAAACTGACTAAGCAAACAACACCTATTGATGTGGCGATACCCAACACCAATAATTTATTTGTTAAATACAACAAAAAGATCGCCAAATACAGAGATCTGGAAATACAAATCAGGAGACAGTGGAGAATAGAAAGTATCCAGACAGTACCTATTATTCTATCTCCTACTGGTGTTATTCTCCAAAAACCTCCTAGAGAACATAAAACAGCTCGGTCTAAATGAACACCACTATAAGGTCATGCAGAAAGCTGTACTCCTCGCGACGTCCAGATGTGTACGAAAATTTTTGGGAGATACTCCAACATACCAAGTCACCTAGGGCTCAATAACACGGAAACAGTCCCATCAGAACTCAATCCTTTTGATACCGTAGGTATCTGGGATGAGTGAATTTTCTCCTTAGAGGGAGTGTGAGCCGTATGGTTAAATCTGGGATAATAATAGTTCTACAGCTGGTGCCGGTTTCCGCATCATAATTTCCAGAGTTTTCTTTCAAAATAATCTTCAGTTTTTAAATCGTTTTAAAATGCGTGTTTAACTGCAATATAGTCACAGGGTGAAAATGAGCTGAACGCTCCCAATTTTTTGGGATTGTATGGATTTTCCTAAAAATTAGTATTGAATTAAGTTTTTTTTAAGTTATTTAATATAAATCATGAATGTGTTGCTTATGTGCGACCATTTTAAAAAAGTAAAACAGAAATAATTAGACTTACTCACAAGTTTACTCACAATCAGTTTAATTTTACTACCTCAGACGACCGGTTTCGCTCTCTAAAATTTGCAAAGCATCATCAGGTCGGTAGTACAAAGTAAATTAAATGCTGAAATTATAAAAAGCCCATATTAGGGTGCTGTCTTATAAGATTAAAAAGTTTTAGTAATTATGGCAATATTACAGGTCTATGTTAATTAATATGCATAAATTGCGTTTGCAGACAGAGTAACAACCCACAAATTGGTAAGAGAAAAAGGTCTGTTGAATTGTGATACATTAGAAATAAACAAAATACTACTTACATTCCGGCACAAGAATTACTATATAGTGATTGGTGATTCATAGTTCAAACTATTATTACTGATATTATAATTATTACTGATAATGAGTGATCTTCGGTCAATGTTGTAGCTGTCTAACAACTTAGGAGGAAGTTTCTTGAGGGGGTGGGTGTTAACAGATGATGTAGTAGAGTAAGGTATATGTTATTGTTTGTTGAAAGAAATGTGATGTTTTATATTATTTAAATTATTATAGTTATTTATATTTATTAAACAGATATATTTTGAAATGTGTGTTAAATTATTGAAATTTTTTTATAAAGAAAGAGGACAGTTATATGACGATGAATGAAAGTACTTGTACTGTTTTGTGGGTGTGCAATTTCTTTGACTTGTAATTATAAACTTTTGATTGAAAAGCATTTAATTTCTACTAGGCAGAGAATTGTGATGTCAAATGTTAAAAATAATAAATATAACACAATTATGGACAAACAGGACACAATTAACGGGACAAAATAAACATAAAACTTTAAAATAGGGATTTATAGGCACTACATTACTTGCTAGGAGAGGAATTGGATTTTTTTTGTTGTCCACTAGTATTTTTCAGTGGTAAATTTGACAAGATAATGTAGGTTAAAGTGTGACAGTTCTTCTTCTATTTCTAAAGTTAACCAAGTTTTTGAAGTTAACAGACCTTAGTAGTTGAACAATTAAAATAAATTGGAAATGTAAGCCAATGTGTATAATATTGGCATACTTTTAACAATCACTTCTTCTTCTTCTTCAAGTGCCGTCTCCATCAATGGAGGTTAGCGGTTATGGTGGCAAACGTTTGTTTATCTTCAGCTGCTCTTAAGAGTTCCTCAAATCCTAGTCCTGTCCAGTTTCTGATATTACGTAACCAGGACAATTTTTTTCTTCCAATTCCTCGCTTTCCTTCTATTTTGCCTATTATTATCAACTGAGGGATGTAGTATTTCTCGTTGCGCAACAAATGCCCTAAATAACTGGTTTTTCTTCTTTTGACTGTTCTCAATAGTTCTTTTTCTAAATTGAGTCTAGCTAGTACTTCTTCATTTGTTTTTCGTGCTGTCCAAGGAATTTTTAAAATTCTACGGTACACCCACATTTCAAATGCCTCGATTCTATTCAGGCTCTTTATTTTTAAAGTCCACGTTTCGGCTCCGTAGAGAAGAACAGACCAGATAAAACATTTTACAAGTTTTAATCTCAATTTAATATTTATATATGTATCGCAGAATAGAACGCGCATCTTAAAGAAACTATCCCTAGCGTGAGCAATTCTCGCTTTAATTTCTTGTTCTGGGTCCAGCTTGCAATTAATCCAACAGCCAAGGTATTTGTATTGGTTTACCTGTTCTAAAATATTCCCATTTATTTTTATAGGTAAGGGGATATCCTGTTTTCTTTGGATCACCATTACTTTTGTTTTTTTTTTCGTTGATCTTCATTCCAAACTCTCGACAAGCATCCTTAAGGTGGTCTATAACCCTCTGTAAGTTTGTGTCTGTATCAGCCAGTAGGACAGTGTCATCTGCATATCTTATGCGAGATATTGGTTCTCCATTAATTTTTATTCCTGTGGAAAGGTTTTCCAAGGCTTGCTTGAATAGTAGTTCCGAGTAAAGATTGAACAGCATAGGGGATAATATGCATCCTTGCCTTACTCCTTTATTTATACTAATATTTCTAGATGTATGATCGTCGATCCTAATCTTGGCACTCTGCCTCCAATATAAGTTCTTAATTAATCGGAGATCTTTACTATCCAAGTTGATGCTCTGCAAGGAATTTAACATTTTATTATGGTTTACGCGATCAAATGCCTTTTCAAAGTCTACAAAACATAGAAAGACATCCTTTTGTTGGTCGTAACACTTCTTCAGCAGTACTTGTAATGAAAACAAGGCCTCTCTGGTCCCCATTCCGGCTCCGAATCCAAATTGATCGTATCCAACTTCTTTTTCACACCTTTTGTATACCCTATTGTGAAGTATTTTTAATAGAATTTTAAGCACTTGGCTCATAAGACTTATTAATCTAAAATCTGCGCATCGCCTGGAGTTAGCTTGTTTTGGAATGGGAATAAAAATAGATTCTAACCATTCCTCTGGTATTTCCCCAGTATCGTAGATTGTATTAAACAAAATTACTAACAAATCAATGTTATTACTTTCGATCAATTTAAGTATTTCAGGATAAACTTCATCAGGTCCAGGGCTTTTGTTGGTCTTTAATTGTTTAATGGCATATTCCACTTCGACTTTTAGAATTGGTGGGCTTTCAGTAACATTATTTATTGTAATGTCTATTCTTTCATCTCGGAACAGCTGTTGTATAAATGTTTCCCATTCTTCTATTTTATCTTTGGTGTTATGAATTAACTCTCCGTTGTTATTTACCAGTGGGCAATGTTGTTTTTTGCGGATGAATGAAAATTCTTTCACCTTCTTGTACATATTAAAGTAATCATGTCTATGTTCTAATTCTTCTATTTCTTTACATTTTTCTTCGAGCCATTTCTCTTTTGATTCTTTTATTTTTCTTCGTATTTCTGTATTTAATCGTTTGTAATCGCTTGTGTTCTTATTTTTGTATTTCCTCCTTTCGTCTATCATCTTTAGAATAGCTGGTGTCATCCAGTCTTTTTTTGCCATTAATCGTGTATTTGGAATTTCTTCCCTTGCAGAATTGACGAGGATGGATTTTATTTGTTGCCAAGTTGTATTTATATTTTGGATATTTATTTGGGTTCGGTCTATTTCTGAGAGTTTTTCATTTAGTTTTACAGTGGTTTTATCTTTAATCTATACATCTTTTAGTAGTTCCATATTAGGTTTGTTCTTCGGCTTTGCATTTTTTATTACTTTAATTCTTGTGCGAATTAAATTGTGCGAACAATCACTTGCTGAATTAAATTTAACTTTAAAATTAAATTTTTTTTAAGTGTGACAGTCAAATTAATTGAAATAATTTAAATATAAAAAAATTTGAAAATTTTTAAGAACCAGAATTACAAAATAAATTTAAAATGAACATTTGGTAATAGCTAATAATCTAAATGTGTAATAAAAATACAATTTTTTTGGAAAAATCTTGAAAACAATTATTGTCGGTGTGGACGAGCACTCTGAAATGGTATAATTTAAACTTATTCATGTTAGTTTTATTATATTAATGTGTAAACCAGAGAAGTAGATAAAATTGTTTATAACCTCAACAATAAGTTGAGGACTCAACTCAACTCATTTACCACAAATTTTCAGAGACAAAGATCCAGATTCAGTGTTAAAAGATCCATGAGAGATTTGTACTCGCGTTAGCCCAATTGAAGCAATTAATTGAAAATTTGTCTACATCTAATAAAATAGTTGATAGTGTTTCAAATGTAAACTTGCCTGATATTAATATAAGACAGTTTTCTGGGGATCCACAAGAATAGATGTCCTTTTTTGATTTATTTTCATCGCTTATATTGAACAATCCCAAATTAAACTCAGATAGTGAAAAGTTCTACTATCTCAAAAGTTTACTTAGAGGGCAACCGCTTAGCGTTGCTAAGCGGTTGATAGAATCTCTGCTCGTTAAAAATCAGAACTTGGATGTCGCTATTTCCACGCTAAAAAATAATTATGAAGATAAGAATAAGTTATTAAATTCTCTGTATCAGACGTTACTGGATCAAAAGCATATAAATAAATGTATGCTAGCGAAATACGGAATTTCTATGTTACGAGTAAAAAAACACTGGATTTAATAAAAAAATCTAAGACTATCTGCTCAAGTTACCTTTGAGACGCTTTTCGTATTTTTGCTAGCGAAAAACAAAAAGTTTTCTTTCATTCGGTATCCATCCTTTTTTAGTTCTTACATTTTTTATTAATTCATCCATAATCAGGTTGAACAATAGAGGACTCAGGGAATCTCTCTGTCTTATCCCATTGCCAGCTTCAATAGGGTCGTTTAGTTCTTCTTCTACTTTTACTTTTATTGTGTTATTTTGGTCGATATTTTCGATCGTTTTGATTATTCGTAGAGGTATCAATAAGTGTAGAGGTATCAATAATACCTTCTTTAATTTAACCCGGTCAAATGCATTCTTAAGGTCCACGAAACATAGATATGTCGGTTTGTTGTATTCTAATTATTTCTCGTGCACTTGCCTCATTATAAATATATAATCGTCGGTTCATGATCTTCCCGATCTAAACCCTTGTTGTTCTTCTGTTAGTGTTATAATTTCATTCAGTTTATTCGTTATAAACTATAACTTTGGTTGTTAATTGTAGTGTTATGTTTAATAAATTCTCTCTCCTCAATCTTGACCCCCCAGGGGGAGTGTACTGGTCGACGTGATGTCGTGTATTGTCCGTCTCCAGAGATCTCTGTCTCTGGTATTTTCTTTTAATTCATGCATAGGTCTTTGGCATGTTCCTGTAATTTGATCTATCCATCTTGTTGGGGATCTTCCTCATGATCTTCGGCCTTCTACCTTTCCTTGTATTATGAGTCTTTCCATGTTTTCTGTGTTTGCTCTCATAACATGCCCAAAATATTTTAATTGTTGGAGATGGACTTTACTAGAGAGTCATTGGCTAACTTTTAGCTCTCTTAAAATTGAATTATTTGTTCTACGGTCGGTCCAAGGAATTCGTAACATTCGTCAGAAACAGAACATTTCAGTGGCGTCTATCTTTCTTCTCTCCGATTGTCTCAGAGTCCAAGATTCACATCCGTAGGTCAGTATTGGGAATATTAAGCAGTTGATCAACCTCATCTTTATCGCTCTTGAAATTTTACAGTCCTTCCATATTTTAGTCATTTTTGCTGTGGCAACTTTTGCTAGATCACATCTACGTTTAATCTCTTCTTGTAATGACCCAGTGTTTGTGATTAATGATCCCAGATATAAGTATGAGCTCACAACTTCGAACCGGTCAATTGTGGTTATGTGTGGATGATTGTTGTGTAGTCTATCCACTATCATGATCTTTGTCTTTGATATGTTTAACTGCACACCAAATATTTGACTTTCGTTTTCGATCAGTCGTATAAGTTCCATCAGCTCAGCTTGACTATTTGCAAGAAGGGCTGTGTCATCTGCGAAACGTAGGTTGTTTAGTTTATGACCATTTATTGAGATGCCCTTTTCCCATCCTTCAAGTGCTCTTCGCATAATATACTCCCCATATATGTTGAATAATTGTGGAGATAGTATACATCCTTGTCTGACACCCCGTTCTGGATGAAACTCGTTCGAAAGTGTGTCAAGTACTTTAACTGATCCAGTAGTGTATTCATATAGTTCAGTTATAAGCTTATATAATTCAGTAATTAGATGTTGTGGTACGCCTACTTCTTTTAGTATTCGCCATAAGTGTCTCCACTTGACCCTGTCGAACGCTTTCCGGTAATCTATAAAATAGATGTATAGTGGGATGTTGAATTCCCTAGATTTCTCGATTATCTGTTTTATATTCAGCAGGTGTTCTCGAGTGCCTCTACCTTTGGTAAATCCGGTTTGCTCTTGTGGAATTTCTCTTTGAAGGAATGTTTTCAGTCTCTCATTGATTATATGTAGCATTATCTTGCTGGCATGGGATATAAGAGTTCTATAATTGTCGCATTTATGGAAACTGCCTTTTTATGTATGGTCGTTATTGTAGATTTTGTCCAGTCTTCAGGCCATTGTTTGGAATGCCATATTTGGTTACAGAGTAGATGAAGTAACTTTACGCCGGTTTCTTCTGTGGCTTTAAGCATTTCTGCTGTTATGATATCTGGACCTGGCTTAGGACCTTAATAAATTAATTCTGCAATATTCCGGGTCCGATTTATCACACTTTTTAAAGAGAGGTATTAGTATGGTTGATCTCAATTCTTACAGAATTCTGTTTTGTTCTATACATTGTTATAATAGTTGTTTGGTCAGATGTAATCGTCCGGTGTTTATGAGTTCGTTCGGTATTCTGTCCTTTCCTGGTGATTTTCTATTTTTTAATTTCCTTAATGCTTCCTTTATCTCTTCCCCCTCACTATTTATTTCTTCGTGTTGTCACGTCTGGTGTTGGTGGTTTCCAACTGTTTTGAAAAGCTCTGCCAGTGTTCCCTTTTTACTCGTCTAACTTCATATTCGTTTCATTTCTGATTCGTTTATAGTGGTTATATGCTGTTGTGTTTAATGTTGATGTTGATGATGTGTTCTGAATTGTAAAAATACTTTCTTCTTTTAGTTATGGACTATATGTCTAGTCTTTATAGGACTGTATTACACTCTGTGTCTGGACTTTTTAAGTTTTATAGATTCTTGACTTCCAATAGTTCTATAGAGATTTCGTCGTGTCCACTTGCTTTTTCATTCTAAGCATTTTCTATTCAGTTTTTATTTATTTCTTCTTTTAATATATTTGGCCAAGAATCGCTCTTTATTTGAAAAATGTTCTTTCTATCACTGCTGTTATCTTTGTATTTATACATTATTTAACGTTTCAAGGTTTTACTTACATTGTTTATTCCATCTTGTACGTTGTTCTCCGTGAATCATAATTGCATTAAACATTAAACTATTCTGTAAATATAGATTAAAAATGTAAATGATATTTTTAGCTGACTGCCGAAAACATTGTTTAAATGGAGGAAAATGTTTAAAGCGGGAGACTAAAGACACGTGCAGTTGTCCAAAGGGTTTTGAAGGACAACAATGTGAATTCGACATCACTAAACGTAAGTTCTGTATTATAAATATACTGAATATCAATACATATTATTTATATTTTAAATTTTGTAGCTTACTGTTCGAAAGGCTGTGAAAATGGTGGAAGCTGTACAAAACACGAATTATGCACGTGTCCGAAAGGATTCGCAGGTAGACGCTGCGAAATAGACATCGATGAATGCAAAGAACAGAAACCCTGTGATCAAATATGCTACAACACTCTAGGAAGTTTTACTTGCCAGTGCAAAGAAGACTTTGTGCTCCAAAAGGACGGACAAACTTGTAGGAAAGAAGGTATACATTTTAAAACATTTATTATTGACTATTTAAATTCTATAGTACCTCTATACAACATGTCAATACCACATCAAATTTCTAGCTTTGTTTTAGCATTATGTTGAAATTACTTTTTAAGAAAAATGAATTATCATAACATTTTAAATCCGTTTCATTCGATCATAGTTTTCATAAAAAAAATTGCAATTTCTTATATTATTCGTCCATCCGGACTGCGCCATGTGTATAATCTTCGTAGATAATGTTGATAGAACGTGTTTGTAATTGTAAGATGTTGTCCTTCACAGAACTCCACTAGTTCGGTCGCCATTCTCATTTCTCTGTCCCAGTCCATTTTTGCCCAGCAGGTCTTTAATATTTTCATTAGATTTTGTCTCTTAAACCTATGATTAGTTCACGATTCGGAATGGGTTTCTTTTAGACGACCATAGAACCTATTTCGGTTACTTGTGGCCTTAAATATATATATATATATATATATATATATATATATATATATATATATATATATATATATATATATATATATATATAGTTTTGTTTTCATTGATCAGAGAGCCCCATCTACTCTGATTTCTTCTCGAACCCGATAAAAGTGTTACCTCTATCCTTAATCTGGTGTTTCCTATTAGGTTGATATCGTTTGCTAATTACAATAAAAATTTTGGTCCTTCTCGATGAACTAAAATTGGTTGTTTAGTTCATGCACTTCTGATTATGTATTCTAGAGCTATGTTAAATTGTTGTTGTGAGAGTGCATCTCTCTGTTTTGGTCCATTGTTTTGTACATCGTAGCTTCCATGCACTTCTTCTTCTTAACGTGCCTCATCAAGTCCCCTTGACGTTGACGATTAACATGGCGAAACTGTCTCTGTCTCGAGCTATTCTAAAGAGTTGCTCAGCTTTCTTTATACCTGTCCACTCTCTGATATTCTTCAACCAAGCGGCCTGCTTTCTACCAATTCCTCTGCGTCCTTCGATTTTACCCATCATAATAAGTTATAGGCCATCTTTTTAAATTTAATGTTATCAAGCAGCTCGCGACCAGCATTTGCTCTCTCAAGGACTGCCACAGTTGTCAGCATAGCTGTCCATGGAATTTTTAATATACAACTGTGCAGCCACATTTCAAATGCCTCCAGACGATTAATGGTGGATATTTTTAATGTCCATGCTTCGACACCGTATAAGAGGACTGACCAAATGTAGCATTTAACCATATGCTTTCGAAGTTGAAGTTTCAAGTTATTATTACAGAAGAATGACCTCATTTTTAAAAATGTGGTGCGGGCTATCTCGATTCTACATTTTATCTCTTGATCTGGATCTAGTTGTTCAGTAATATGGCAACCAAGATATTTAAAACTGGACACTCTTTGAATTATAAGACCATCAACATAAAATCGTGCATCTTGGTGCGCTAAACGGCTAAACAACATGTGTTTTGTTTTTGAAAAGTTTATGTTTAGGCCAAACTCTCTTGCAGCGTTTCTTTAAATATTCTATCTGAATATAAATTAAATAACAGTGGGGATAGTATACAACCCTGTCTGACACCTCTTTGTATTTTAGATATTTCTGTTGATTTTCCGTTTATGCAAGCTGTCGCTGTTTGACGCCAGTATAACTTTTCTATTAATCGTATGTCTTGACTATCAACTCCTTTATCTTTTAATATTGTAATTAATTTGTGATGCTGTACTCTATCAAAGGCCTTTTCATAGTCAAAAAATACAGCAAAGACTTCTTTCCTTTGATCTCGACATTTCTGGAAGTAATACATTTAGTACAAAGAGGACGTCCCGAGTTCCCAGTCCATTTATGAAGCCAAATTGTGTTTCATTCTGATCTTCTTCACATTTATCTCTGATTCTACTGTGGATGATGCGTAGAAATATTTTCAAAGTGTGGCTCATAAGGCTTATCATTCTATAATCGCTACAGTTTTTCGGGCGTTGTTTTTTTGGTAGTGTTATGGATTCGGACTTTAACCAATCTTCAGGGATATCACCAGTCGAATAAACATCATTGAAAAGTTTGACCAGTATTCCAATGTTCTCCTCATTTATAAGCTTTAACATCTCTGTCGGTATGTTATCAGGGCTAACGGCTTTCTTGTTCTTTGCTAACTTTATAGCATGCAGTATTTCTGATTTTAGTATTTCTGGTCCTTCACCTTCAACTAAAGTCTCCGGTTCTTCGGGTCTCTCATCATTATACAGTTCACTTATATAATTACACCAGGTTGTTCGAATTTCATGTTCGTCTATTATCATTTTTCCCGACGAATCGGTTATAGTATGTGGAGTTTTCTTATGATAAAGACCAGCTACTTCTCTAACTTTTTTAAACATATTAAACGTATCATGTTTTTCATTAAACTTTTCTAATTCCTTGCATTTATCCTTCATCCATTTTTCTTTAGCCACCTTTATTTTTTGTTTAAATAGTTTCTGTTTTTCCTTATATTCTGTCTTGTTACCTTTCAGTTTCCTTCTCTGCTCCATTAATTCCAGGATTCATCAGTCATCCATTGTTGTTTTTTGTACCTTTGTAACGTTGTAGAATATTTTTTCTATTACTTTCAAGGTAAGATCTGTAAATGTGTTTCATATTTCTGTGTTGTTTTCATTTATTGATTTCTTTAGCTTATTGTTTAAGTCATTTTCTATTAACGTTTTGTTGGATATTGAGATATTTAATTTTGGTATTTTGGGGCTTTCTTGGACTTTTTTGAGCTTTACTTTGATGTCAGTTTCCATGCACATTCGTGTCAAATTGACTATTGGAAAGCTAAGTTCTTGCATCGCTGTCAAATATCTTACCCTGTATACTCTATCATACGCGTGTTAAAACCTATAAACATCCGATGATGCTCACGACCAAACTGTCCATCTGTTATCTGTCATTCGAGCTACGTGACCTGCCCAGTTCCACTTCAGTGTTGCAATTCTCTATATAGCATCAGCCGTTCCTGATCTTTGTCGTAACTGGCGGTTTGGGTCAGTTTCATCGACCTTTGAGCCACACATCTTTTTCCCTCTCCTCCTTATAAAAAGAGTGGTCGGAACAAATTGGAGGTATGTCCAAAATGGAAGGCTAAGAAGTTTTATTAGTTTTGTAGTGAATATCTGGTCAATAGTGGATAGACCCTATCTAAATCCGCATTCAAAATATCTCCAATGATTTCTTCTGTGTATGTTTTGGTTTTTTTAGCAGGATTTTGTAGGTGGTATTTCGGAGAGTATTCCTCAGTTTTAATATATGGCTTTTTGTTTTTTTCTTGTGGATAGCTATAGTAACTTATTTTCATTCATCTAGCATTGTTTCTGGCATGCTTTCAATTAGCTGTGTGCAGTACTTCTCCTTTTTTTTTGATCGGGTTTTGATACTCTGCGGAATTACCATCGCTGCCTGGTGCCTTATTATTTAAATTTTTTATTGTCTGGGTTACTTCTTCACATTTTGGGGATTGATCTTCTATTTCAGTTGTATGTACCTCTATGTTTAACGTACTTTCGTTACATTTAATAGTTGACCAAAGTATTCCATCCCGGTCTTTATATTTGTCATTACTAATAAGCTTCCGCTGTCTTTCTGAAGGAAGTTTCTTTTTCCTGCTTGGTACCGGATTTGATCGCTGAATACTTTCTATAATTATCTTAAATTATCGTTCTTGTAATTTCCTTCTATATTCCTGATTATTTGCTCCTGGTACTCCTTTTTTTTTTCATTAGTTGCCTAGTCTCTGTTCTTGTCTGTTTATACTCTTAAGTGTTGTTATCTGACGGATTTTGGCGCATGTCTCTTCTAGCGATGTTTCTTTTTCTATGGATTTCAACCACTCATTGCCGAACCAGATTTTATCTGAAACGAAAATTATTTTTCGGGATATTATTCTTGATTCTTGTTCCCATATTCGTTATATCAGAAAATGATCCATGTCTCTATCCGCCTTTCAGCTAGTAGCTGAAGCTGATAAAAATCGTTAGTTTCAACAGAGCTCAAACAAAACTTATTAAAAATAATAAAAGAAAATTCGTTAAAACGTCTATATCTAAAAACGTAATAATTTTATACATTTATCAATAAAACAAACTAAACGATAAATATTTATTATTAATCGATTCTTTTTACCTTTCTTTTAGATGATAATGATGGAGGCATCGAAGCAAAAGACTTAGAATTCGAAATGTTGGATAAGCGATTATTGAAGCTAGAAACGGTAATAATCTTCCTTTTTGATCGAATCCTAATATTTTACACAACCCATTATCTAATTAATTAATTTAATATTTTTTTAATTTTCAGATGATGGGCGAAAGCCACAAAAATGATGTCTCTAAAAATGATCTCCAGAATGTGTACAAAGACATGGATTCGATTTCTCAAGATATCAACACCCTTAAAAATAAAATAAATGATGTGGTAATATGCAATATATTTACATTATAATAATATGCTATAGACTATACTTCTTCTTCAGCCTTCATTTATCCATTGTTGGACATAGGCCTCCTCCAATTGCTTCCACGCTTCCCTATCTTTTGAAATTCTCATCCACTGCTTTCTAGTTACAGCTGTTATATCGTATATCCATCTCTTTTTGGGTCTTCCCACGCTTCTTTTTGTTTTTCGAGGTTTCCAGAATGTCACTTTATGAGACCATCTGTTGGTGTCTTGTCTTGCTACATGTGCCCATGTACCCATTGTCGCTATTTTTCCATGATGTCGATTTCTTTAGTTCTTCGACGTATTTCGGTGTTAGGAATTTTGTCTCTGAGGCTTATATTTAACATGGCCCTCTCCAAGGCCCGTTACTCTTAATTGTTCTGCCATTTTTCTTGTTATTGCCATAGTTTCCAATCCATAAGTTGCAACTGGTAGTATACAAGTGTCATAGGTTTTTCGTTTTAAGTGTATTGGGATTTTTCTGTCTTTTAAAATTATTTATTAATTATATTATTCTACCTTTTCTATATTGATTTTATCTATCGTGATGTTTTCTAGGCTGTTGCCTAATATCTTTGTTTTGTTGAGATTCATTTTTAATCCTATTTGATTCGATTTGTGATTTAAATCTTGTAATATTGATTTTAGTTCATCAATATCTGTGCTTATTAGTACTATGTCGTCTGCGAAACGCAAATGGTTAAGACTATACTTATCTTTCTACTAATTTTTGAAGTGTCACGTTTTGGCTTTACACCCCTGTGTGAGTACTATCCTCCTCAAAAATGTCTCTCCAGTCATTTGTATCCATCGCCTTCCATCGTCAAACACATACATATCAAATTCTTCTATTTCTGTTCAATCTTCATCCATCCAGCGTTGTGTAGCTTTCTTGATCTGCGTTTCTACTAGTTTTTTATTTGCTTGTATTTTTCTGTATTTGTATATATTACAGAGCAAAGCCAGGGAGTGTCGATAAGAAATAACTGAGTAAAACATACATTTTTTGCCAAAATTATGGTAAATTACATTTTTGCATTATTTGTTTTTATATACTAAATCTTAACAATAAACCATTTATTTCTTGGTAATTTAATTATCCAATTAACAATTACCCTTTTATATTTTTTAGGAAAACTACAGGAACGACATGTATGTCTTCAAGACAAAATTAAACTCCATCGAGAAAAAAGCCGAAAAAGTCGACGAACTAGTACTTAAATATGATAGAATAAAGAAATGTGCCTTTTATAACAAGATTTGTATTTGAGAAGTTGTGACTGATAATTTTAAGTTAAAAAATATATGTGTATATGTAAATTTTTAGCTAGGTATAAGGAAGTATCTCAAATTTATTGAATCAGTTGGGAAGTTACTTAATATGCTTTTATCGTGGTATATAGGTTTGTTCGCGGAGACAATCTATGACTGGTTTCTGACTGATTCACATGCGCAGTTGTGTTTTAAGCGTTTGTAGTATTCTAAATATGTGAATGTGACAGAAAGTTTAATGTTCGCGTAGTTTTTCTCGGAGTATTTATTATTTCTAGGTCCATTTTCAATTTCTCTCCTAATGTCTACGTTCCTCATCCTATGAAGTCTATTGTACCAGCAACATCGTTTCCAATAGTCCATTTCCATGGCCTTTAATTTTTATTTGTTTCTTTGATTGATTTTCGAAAGCTTTTTTTGGTGGTAAATCTTCTAAAGACCGTATCAGGCCGTGTCCCGTTAAGGATGACCTGGCGTGTGTTGGATTCAGGGTGGAAGGATCCATACGCACGCAGTCCCCCCAGAGGAGTCGTGCTCACAGATACACCCATAGCTCCCTGCCTGCCAACTAAAGTCCACCCCCTTTATACAGGCTACTCGTGCGGTAGGTCCTCTCCAGACTGGTGCATCACATGAATAGCCCGTCCCCTCCCTCTCTCTCTCTCTCTCTCTCTCTCTCTCTTTCGCCCTCTCTCTCTCACTCTCTTACCTAACTTTGCTGTAGATTCCTCTCTAATATCTCCTTCATTCTGACAATTTGAGTTACTGCCTTCAATATTGCCTTGTACTCAGTCTTTCCTCTCACTGCTACCTGCATTATGGTATTTTTACTTACCCTACCTAGCTTTCTGTATAATTCGTTTCTGTCCTCATCAAATCTTCTGCACTCGAGTACACAGTGCTCGGCCGTGTCAGCCACTCCACAGACTGTGCAGTTTCCATCCGCAACCTTCCCTATCCTTTCTAGATAGGCCTTGAAGGAGCCGTGCCCTGTTAGGAACTGGGTGAAAAAGTAATGGTGTCTCTGTCCCCACACTTCATCCAGTCTCCGATATTTGGAATTAATACCCTCGTCCAGGCCGCTCTATACTCATTTGTCCATTCTTCCTGCCATTCCGTTAGGCTGCTATTCCTAGCTATTATTTTCTCCTGCTCATCCTTCCCGTAGGTTTAAATTTGCAGGCTTTCTGGTTTTTCTCCTGTAAGTTCTATCTTATTACTATCGATGTTTATTTCTTTATTTTCCCATTTTAGTGACGTCAAAGCCTGTTCAAGTATTGTGATGAACAAATTTGATGATATAGTATCTCCCTATTGAACATATCTCCTAATATGTATCTTATTGGTACGACAGTGCAGATTATTAGTTGTTGTAACATCGCTATATCGTCAGTGTAATTCACATAGTGCGTAACTCCGTTTTATAAAATTGTATAGAAGAGCGAAAAAACTAATTTAAATGATTAAACTTGTTACCGATTGGCCAGAAATTAGTTTTTACGACTTCTAGTCAACTCAGATAGAATTTGAATGTTCTATTTTTGGTTTTTAGGTGAAATATTGTTATTTTAAATAAAATTGGAGATACGTTTTTTGCGAACTAATATTTTGAAAGCAAAATAGAAATACGCATTTTTATAAAAAAAGATTGTCTAATATTTTAATGCAAATAAACCAGTAACATAAGGATTACACATCGGTAATTGTAACAGAAAAATGAATGCTTAAAAATGTTTAAATTAGAAAATATAAAATAAAATAAGCACAAGGCTAATTATAAGGTAACTGATCATAAAAAAATGGTAACCCTGTTATACAGGGATGAGTGTCTAACCACCCGGCTTTTTAACGTAAGAGATAGAAAACACAGTTACCTTGTGAAATAAAAAGAGATGAAACTCGTAGCCTATAATCTAACCTAACCTATAATTTACATTATATTACATTACCACTATCGATAGTCTCACACCTTTAGACTTTAGCTTCGAGCTAAATCACCTCGGTCATAATTATTATGTTTGACGTATGTGTGACGTATTTCCATTTTTTAATTTCGCATAAAGTAAAAACTGATTGACCACAAAAAAGCAAAAATGTGAATAAAATAATTTAATTAATAGTGATTATTTATTCTAAAGTTTTAAATTATTAACCAAGAATAATTTATACTATGATTTGAGGAGTTTCATACACTCTTGTCACGGAATAATTATCAATCCTTCGTGGATTAGTGGTAAGAATTCGACACTGCAATGCAGACAATTAGAGTTTAAAACCCACATGTGTTTGTTGTCTTTTTTTTTATGTCGCCGTACTTTCGAAAATAAAGTAAAAATTCTTCAAAATTAAAAGAACGTTTAAAGAATGTATAAATAAGTAAAAATTCCACAAAAATAAAAAAAATATTGTAAATAAACGTATTTACAATTGTCAATTATTTTGATAATCATTATCTGTACAGAGGAATTGATATTAACACTGAGAATTTAGTGATGGATTTGACATAAACAGTCTTCACCGGATTATTTTGCATTCACAACTGAAGACAGTAAAACTGGAATTGAATTTGAAATATTTTGTATTTTCGTTTTATAACATTGGAATAAAAATAAATTGTAAATAATTGTGTGAATTGAACCCCAAACCTTCTTGCCAATAGACCACTTCTCTAACTAATACACCAATTCCACATACATTAATTTGTTTTCGGACAGAACATACCTATCATTACTTTAGTCAAATATTTCAGTTGAGTTATTTTTATTAATAAATAACCTTAAAGATTTATAATTTAAAATCGCTACTAATTAATATTTTTAATAATAATAATATCTTAATTTATTCAATTATTTATTCTAACATCAGAAATTACTAAAATAAATATTTTCGAGGTTATCCGTATAATTATGACTGAAGTCAAATAGCCACGTCTAAAGGTGTGAGACTGTCGATAGTGGTAATGTAATGTAATGTAAATTATAGGTTTCTATCGATTATTTCCTACCTCTACGAGTTTCATCTCTTTTTATTTCACAAGGTGTTTTCTATCTCTTACGTTAAATAGCCGGATGGTAAGACACTCATCACTGTATACTTTTCTTTAGTTGTTTGAATTCCACCTGTGTATAAAGCAGGCAAAGGGTCAAAATCTACAAATTTTTGAATTGAATTTAATCTGACAGGAAAGGTTTTCCATTTCAATTCAGATTGTCTAATTTTGTAAAATATATTTGAAAATAATGGAGTTACGCAATATGCGAATTACACTAACGATATATCATATTTAAAGTAGTAGAAACTAAATAAGGCATTATGCTTAGTGATATAAATCCTGTACTTGTGAAAAAACGTCTAGAACTTTTAAAAAAAAAATTGTTTATTTACTATGTTTCACATTAAAAAATACAAGCTTTTCAAATAAATTTGTAATACTTTCTTGTTATATGGTCCTTGTCAAGTGATATTTTTGAGTAAGTATAATATTTAAGTAGGATTTAGCTGTATTCTGTATAGAATGTAGTACTGCCAACTTATTGTAAACTTTTATTAAATAAAATATATGACAAGATAATTTTACAATTCATATTTTTTATTATATCACTGTACCTACTTGCAATTTGTCAGTTTTACTTGTTTTGATTTTCAATTAGCGTCTCTTAGCAAAGACAATGACGTCGACTTTGCTAAGTGTCAAGACAAATTACTCTACACACACACTCACACACACACACTACACTAGGTACCTGACTGTACCATGCCAATGATCATAGTTGTCGAGGATTAACCCAATAAAAAAAATACGCAGTCTGAGAAGGGAGAGAAGATGAATTAGAATATTTTTCTTAAGTCTAAGAATCTTGTCTGTTTATTTTCTTATGGTATCTTTAGGACATTCTTAGAGCTATTTTCCCTCCAAGCTGTTGACATTTTATAGGTATAACAATTAATTTTTAAAGTTGATATCTACTTATTTTTATTACGTTTAAGTATATATTATGTTTAAGTTTTAAGTAATATTATGTTTTCTCATTTCTGTCCTGATGATATTGACTTACTTAGAATATTCTGAATACTTAATGGTATCTCGTCGATTTCCGCATCCTTATGCCACAGAACAATAAACAATATTGTTATTTATTCTGTGCCAGAACCCTGTCACTTTTCTGTTTATTGTTATTAGAAGACTATAAAGATTAATATATTAACGTATTGGAAGTTAAAAATATTGGATAAAAGTAAGGATACACGCACAAATAAAGGAAATTTATTCTAACTATAGTGTAGGCAACACTCATTTCGCTAAAGTATATTAGTGAGTTCTAAATATTGGATACACACAGAGTTCTATTTAATAACCTAAAGGTCAAACTCAGTATAATCCGGCTAGAGGGCGCTATTTGTCTGAGCAAAAAATAAGTTGATTAAATACTAACTCAATGACTAAACATAAAAAAATTGACAGATCTTTCTTATGCTAACTTTATTTATAATGTTTATGATTTATGATCATGGAATAATGCTGTTTGGGACTTACTTTATCAAATTGAGCTTGTAAGTTAATCGATTAAACAATTACAAAAAGGATACTTTTATCTCCGAATTTTATCCATAGACATAATTAAAATGCTTATTGTCTATGGTTTTATCACAAGAGAAACAAGTGAAATTTCAAATATTATTTACATTTTTTTGCCCCCTTATTTCTAGACACCTAGCGAACAATACGCGCACTAATATCAAGATTTCTATATAATTATACGAGACGCATTATTTATCCATTATCTATGGGAGGGGAGTAGGAGATGCTATTTAGACATCTTGCACTAATCTTTAAAAAATTGACTTCTCTTATTTTTGCTGAGTTTTATATCTACAACTTGCATCTAGTACTTATTTATGATTAGTACATGTATGCCTTATATTATAAAATAATACAATAAATTAATGACTATTTAACTGTAATAAATAAATAAATAAATTGTTAAATACAATAAATGTATAATATAACTGGAGAAAGTAATTTCAATTAAAATTCATCTAAATTCAATCCACCTCTCATTCAAAAGACATACACATTATGTCTGCAAATGTGGTATTTGATTGTTATTTTTTGGTTTCTTGTCAATTATTAGCCAGTACCCACTTACAACCAAGTGGCTAATATACTAACTAACTATAAAAACGATGAATTGATTGCAAATGTTAGTCCACTTCTTTGATGTATAAAAACCTTTGGTTTACATATTAAAACGTATTTAAATTGTTGATGATGATTAAGGTTTTATATTGATGATTAAAGTTTTACCTAAAAAGGGAAATTAATGATCAGTTGACTGATAGCCTGGCTATGACTCATTTGGTCATTGTCATTTTCGAGGAAGGGTTTCAATCAGTGGTTTCACTAAATGAAGAAAAACCCTACGCTTTGAAAAAAAAAGCTACAATGAATTCTATCTCAAGAAACTTTAGCGAACATTTTTAAGGGAGATAAAATATCATGGAATGACATTTGAGTAGTAAAGTAGAAAAGGAATTTAACAATTGATTCTTCTATAAAACAAACTGGGAACACGAACAATTTTCAATAGTTAAAAAAAATACAAAGGAGGGGACGAAACCCTAGAGATTTAACAATTCAAACTCTGAAAATTGTCTATGCACAATCACTTGGTATCTTTTCAGCAAAGAAAAAAATTGTGGTTCTGCCTGTGGTAACACACTTTTGATCAAAATGAATAATACGAAAAAACATCAATTAATATTAATTTTAATATTATTATTCAGTGTTTCTAATTTGAATTCCTTTTAATAAGTTTTAAAAACTTCTAATGGGTTTTTATTGAATTGTTACCAAACTTGAGAATATATTCTACTGATTGTTTAATAAGCATCATTTTAAGGATTTACTTAAATATATACTGCTGGAATCTTTGAATTCTGTATTTTATTTACCTCTGCACACTTTCGAGTTCAAAATTGTGAAATACATACAATTATAACAGATTTTAAACACATATGTAGAGCCAAATGTGATTTACTACATTGTAGGTTACCATCCATAGCAAGAAACTGATACTTTTATTAATAGTTTAATTACTAGGAAACAAATCTGTTTGAAAACAGACTTTCTACTCTTAACATGTTAAGTAAATCCGGCATTCTTAACTTTTTTGTCAATTGGTGTATCTTATTATTGCTGACAACATGAAGGCCCAACAACCTCTAAATATGGTAATTCACTGAGACCATTGGGCATTAAAATAAATAAGTACTACCAAAATGAAGATAATGGTTATAAGCAAGAAATAATCCATTACCAGTCAAAATTATATACAGGCAATATGTAGACAATTTAAAAAAGTTTTAATATTTGGATTCCTGTCCAAAAAGATCAGACATTTAAAAAAATGAGAAGAAATCTTTTATGTTACTAGTCATTTGATATCAATTGATGATTATATTTCCTTCACTGCTAAATTCTCTTATATTGCTAGGAAATATGGACACTCAAAGTAAATATTTTAAGGCACTAAGAAGCCTTTCAAATGTGGATCTATTGAAGACTCTTGAAAACACCTTGGGAAATATCATGAATGCAATGGAAAAGTTCTTTAAAGTTTCAGTAAATTTGATTTGTTACATAAAAAAGAGAGAAACTTCATGGCTTGGCCATGTTATAGGAAGCAGTAAAGCAAAGCTTTTGAAGGGTATTAGAGAAGAAAAAATAGAAGGCAACGGACGAGTGGGTGGACAAACATTTTTGTTGTTGACAAATCTAAGAGATGGAGCTGGTTTGGATTCACATCCATAGTATGAATGATACAGTATATTTATTGATTTGTCAACAAGCAATTGCCCAATTTAAATACAATATTTTAATAATAAAATATACCAGGACTACCTGGACAAATGATTTTGAGAAAGAAATTAATATCTATGAAATTAAAAGAGGTTAATGATCTGGAGCAGTTTTTTAGTGAGTTCAATGATGTAACAAGACAATTGAAAGCAATAAGAGTGAAAATCAGGGACGAATATTTAGTATGTAACTTACTACTCTCTCTGCCACCATTCTTCGAAACAGTTATTGCAATTCTAGAAAATTTAGATCCAAAAGAGTTAACAATTGAATTGGCAAAGAAAAACCTTCGAGCAGAAGTGGAAAGAAAGAAGGCATTAATCCAGTGATACAAAATATGAAAAACCAGCAGGTTTTTTAATGAAAATCATAGTTTGTAACAGATCTCACAAGTCAGGGCATATGCAAAAGGATTTTAGAGTGAATGCAGAGATATATAATAGAGCACCTATGAGAGGATTTAATTAAGGATATAGAGGAAATGGTCAAATGAGAGGAAGTTTCAGATGTAAAAGTTTTAGAGGCCAGAGAGGAGGTAGTTACCAATCAAGACATGGATCTTCAAACTAGGAAATGGACAGACATGGAAATTACATAGATATGGGAGACAACAGTTACAATCAGGATTGAATAATGTATGTTTTTTGACAGATCATGTTATATTAGATTTTGAGGTATGTAGACGTAAAGTTGAATTATTGTTTGATATAGATTCCGGATGCACAGATCACTTAGTAAATAATAAATCCTATTTTCAGGATTATGTACAACTTGATACTCCAATTGATATAGCAGTAGCTAAAAATAATGAGTATATGCAGGCAATAGGTGTAGGAAACATTAAAGTTTTAAGTCATGTAAGAAATAATGAGGTAGAATGTACCAATAAAAATGTATTTTTTGTACCAAAATTAAGGCATAACCTATTATCAGTAGAAAATTCGAAATGTCAAATATTACAGTAATTTTTAATCAGGGACATGTACCTTTGTATAAGGCAAATCATTTAGTAGGCTTAGGTCATAGAAATAGGTTATATGAAATCTCATTAAAATTAAATAATAAAAATGAATGTTTTAATGGTAAAACTTTCTATAATGATCCACAGTTATGGCATAAAAGATTAGGGCACATTTGTCATGAAAAACCAAGAAAATAAGAAACAATAGAAGCTTTATTGACAAAGCAAGCAAAGTGATAAAAGAAGCTAAAATGTCAAAAACATTCTGGAATGAAGTAATAAAGTTTGCAGCATATATTTTAAAAGGAACTCCAAACAATCATTCAAATAATATGCCACTTGCTGTAGTATGGAATGATAGGAAACCTGATATTAAAATATGAAAATATTTACTGCATATGTACATGTACTTGAACAATTCAGAGAAAAGTTCTATGCTAAATCAGAAAAAATGATTATGATAGGATACAGATTGTGGAATGTTAATAAACAAAAAGTAGTAACTGCTAGAGATGTACTTTTTAAAGAAAACAATTTTTTTCATGAGAAAAACAATGTAGAGCAAAATGATGAAGTCAAAGAAGACTGTATGTAGAAGTAAAAAAGAAGATAATAGTGATGATGAAATAGAAGAATATGAGAGTAGAAGTACACAAAAGAGAGAAAATGTAATTTTAACTGAAGGGCACAAAAGAAAGGTAAAAATACCAGAGACATATAGTGACTATGAGATATATGGCTTTTGACGCCATGTCTTTTATAGAAAGTGTTCTAGAGACAGTAGAATAGTTGTTAGAAAGTAGAGAAGATAAGAATTTATGGATAAAATCAATGGAGAGGCTAATAATACATGGACAGAAATGGAGAAAATACCAGAAAAGATACAGATTTTTAACTAACAGTGGGTATTTGCTAGTAAACATTGGAAGACAAGGAAGATGTATAGGTTATGGCACTGAAGCACATGGTAGAGATATGCAATGTCAAATTAGTGTGTATTGATATTGAGAATTAAATAAAGCTAAGTAAAAGAGTTTTAATTGAAAATCTGACAAAAGTAGCTTCAGAAAGATATAAAAAGATGTTGTACATCAACAGAAGTCTATGTCAACAGCAATGAAAAACATTTACCAAATAAAATACAGAAACATATTAAGCAAATCTATATTTTAAAACCTATATATTTGATTAATCTGTAGTAATATGATTTATCTGTAACTATACAGAAATTAACAACAAAACAAATAAAGACAGTTTGTTTTATTATGTTCTGCATTACAGAAACATAAATGTTTATTATTAAAAATAAACAATACAAGTCATACATACCTAAAAACATAACATTTACCTATTTAACAAATGAATCATTACACATTATTTTTTCTTAGAGTTTTTTGAAACTTTGCCCTTGGACTTTTTTCCCTTCTTATCTTTGGATTTTTTAGATTTCTTAATTTTCCGTGGGTGAACCCAAACGGGGTAGGCTCCATTCGCATCCATCAATGTTTTGGCGTTAAATTTTTTTAAATCGTCTATTGTGCTCTGGTCCATTATGTCTTTATCCTGTTCTTTTTCTTTGCGTTTTTTCTTGATTTCGTCTGCAGTGGTAAAGGTTATCACTTCTGATAGATCAGTCATAGTGGCATCAGTGGTGCTGGTTGATGCTTCGCCTGGTTTGTCTTCTATACCTAAAGTCTTTTTTAGCCTTTCCAGTTCTTTCTTACCGTATCTCTCTCGTTTTACTTGACGCATTTTACGCTTCCATTTGCTCCGTAAACTCTTTGCCATCTTGAAGTACTAAAGAAAAATAAACTATGATTATTTAACAAAATTGTACAAGATGTGATTTATATTTACTTTCTAATGTTCCAAACTTTATTAATGCCACTGGCAACAAAAAATCGTTCTCTTCTCAAATATTCCTTTTATTTACAAAATATAAACGCATGTTAGTTCTTAACCTCAATATTGGAACAGATTGACTTTGACGTTGACTACTGAAGTGACAGTGATAAGGCGTAGTTTTCATAAACAACTTTTTTCTTCTACAAAAGTCATGATTCGGTTCACAGATTTTTTTTATTGGTAACCAAGAGATTTAAATTTAATAATAAACAATAAAAAGATCTGTTAAGATACAACGACGACATGATAATGTAGTGCAATTTAATGAATAGAGACCAGTAAAATTCACATTTTTCTTTAATTATTAAATTCTTGTTAAGGTAATTGAGCATTATTGGTGAGCATAAAATAAATATGAATGGAACATAAACAATAAACATTATTTAAATCTTTATTTAGATTTAATTTTTATAAGTTTTTATGCTGCTGTCATCTGTTGGCAAATCTGCAAAGTGTTAATATCCCTACATTCCATTTAATAGTTATCTATGTGCCGGATCCGATTGTCATGTCTTATTCGCACAATAGATGGTACAAGCAATCAATTTGAAGGTGTAATATTGCATGCATAATATTATTATGCGTCTATATTTTTTACTTTTATGCTGGCTGTGAAGAATAATGATTACTATGACTTTACGATACTTAAAGATATTGTGTACTAATTTATTAAAACTATATAAACTTCACAGTGGTGCAGAAGTGGGGTTGTAGATAAATTTAATTTATTATCACTTTCTGAAAAAGACCCTTCAGCGAATTCGGGAACGGTTTTATTGGATGAACAGTTCCGACGATGTAAAAGACTGGTGTAAGAAATGTACTATTTGTGCTACGAGTAACGGGCCTTATCGAAAAAGGAGAGCTCCTATGAGACAATATAATGTTGGAAGCCCGTTTGAAAGAATAGCTTTGGACATTCCCAAACAGCACAGTACGTTTTAAGTACGTACAATTTTGGTACTGTACGTACATGATGTAAAATGTACGTTTTAAGTACGTACATTGGGGTACATACCAGTACGTACAAAAGAGTACGTACTTATTACGTCTTAAGTATGTACATACCAGTACGTACAGAAGAGTACGTACTTATTACGTCTTATGTATGTACCATGAGAAAGAAGAGTTAAAGCATATTTATTATGTTAGGTTATGTTAACCTAACCTAATTTATTTAGTTAGGAATTTTACACCTCGAGTACAGTTGTGATGTGATAATTCATTGCAAGACAGTTTCATTTAGATTTTTTTTACTTATTTTTGGTGTTTGGTGCTTGTGATTTCCTGTTATTTTATTCAGTCGTGTGTTTTTTGTGTCAAAAATGTAGTGATAAGAAAGTGGCGGAGCAAGAAATTGGACGATGGTTGAAGAGAGTCGGGGATCGGTTCAAAACTTTCTTTCTTATTTTTAAAAGAATAAAAATTGAATTTATTAAAAAAAAATAAAAATATATTCATCTATATTTACTTTTATTTGCATAAATCATCATAAGTGTGTATAGTATGTATATATATATATATATATATATATATATATATATATATATATATATATATATATATATATAATATATATATATATATACATATACCTTTAATATGTACTAGTTACGTACTTTCAGTACGTACTAGGTACGTACCATAATTTGGAAAATGTACGTTTTATGTACGTATTAAGTACGTACTTCGTACAGCAAAGTACGTACATTGTACGTACTTTATGTCCCATCAGTACGTACTTAGTATGTCTTATGTACGTACTTGTGCTTACTGGGTTGCTGGGCCGTTTCCAGAAAGTGATAATGGTCAGGCACACACGTACTTTTTGGTGAAGGCGCTCGACTCGTTTTTCAACCTCGAGACGTGGATGACTCACTAAAATTAGTGTCTAGAGATTTCTGGTAAACAACTGGTAGCTAAGCTCAGGTATATTTTGACCTACAAATTACGAGAATCAATAAAAAAGAATTAGTCATAAAATATTTACAGTTCTATATGCCATAACATTTAAAATCGTAACAATATGATATATAATTAAAATTTTGTAAATCTAGTGTAATTGAAGTGATTGAAGTCCATGGACGTATAAATACGTCCATGTTGAAGTCTCATTAGCAGTGGCTCACTATGAAAAATCTTTGGATGGGGTCCTAGAAGAAAAATCGTCGCATTATAATTTAATTTTAATAGATCACTGAGATAGTTACCCAATGGTAACATTGTGTTCATTTTAATTAAATATCTAATTTTCAAAAGCATAGGTATTACATATTTATAATAAAATAATAGTTTACTGTTAACAAGATATTAATAAAATTCTTTCCTTTGAGCTTTCTGTTTTAAAAAAGTAACGGTAACATCTTCAGTAGACATATTAATATATCTAATGTGGTATTCAGTTACTCGTTATATAAGTATTTTCATACTTAGTAAATGGTCACTTGTGCTGAATCCCTTTCTAAAACCAGCTTGTTCTTTCGACTGGTATTCATCGAACTTTGTCGTTAATCTATTGGTTAAAATTTTTGTTAGAGGTTTATACATTACATTGAAGAGTGTTATAGTTTTTATATCTGCTTTATCCCCTTTATTGTGTAGGATAATGGTTACTGATTTCTTCCAGTTGTTTGGGATCCTTTTTTCTTTTAATATCTTGTTAAAAAGGGGATGTAGAGTATTAATTACCACTTTTCCACCATATTTCAGCATCTCTGCAGTTATTCCATATTTTCCAAGCGATTTGTTGTTTTTCATTTCTTTCAATGCCTTACTCAGGACAATAAATATGCTTATTGACAAATTTGAGGAATTATCATCCCTTGAAAATCTCATTGTTGTTGGAGATTTCAATTTTACAGAGATTAGCTGGCCCATTATTTCCAAAACTGATACTATCAATTCTCAGAATTTTTTTAAAAACTTTATCATGACCTTTCAAGAATATTTCTTCAAATTAAGACTTTTTTTTCACAAATGACGATCACATAATTTCTACACTTGAAGTGTCCTCTCCTGTAGGTCTTTCTGACCACTCGCTTATTACTGCTCACATTCAATTTAGTTTAACACCGCCTGGCAAAAATAATTTTCTAACGTATGCCGCTACTGATTTCTTTACTGTAAATTCATTTTTATCCGAGAATTTTTTAATTACTCTGATGCATCGTCAATGTGGGAATCTTTTTTTCATACTGCTATCACAACAATTTCTGATCATACAACCGAACGGCAGCTATACAGAAATCGACTAAAACCTTAGATTAGCCTCTCAGCTACCCATTTAATTCGACATAAGAGAAAGCTTTGGCGAAGATATAAACTTACTGGTTCCCTTGATGATTTCCCAGCCCACCGTAATTTTTCCAACCGAGTCAAACAATTTGTGCTAAAGTTAAGAACAGAATTTGAAGAATCTATCATTGCAAGTGGTAATAGTAAAAATGTTTATCGGTACATTTGCACCTCTTTATCTTCTAAAGTCTCCTTACCATTACTTCAAAACAAAAAGCTAACGGGTCTTTATGTTCTTCGAATAACGAATCTTTGCAATAGTTATCGTTATTCTTTTCTCAGGTTTTTACAGATGAACTTAACGATATCATTCCTCAAATAATGTGCCCACGTTTGTCTAAAGCTCTTGACAATATATCTTCCATACCGGATGCAATTAAACATGGAAACTACGCAATAATTTATCACCTGTATTAGACGGACACCTCCTTTTCCTCAAACAATGTGCATAATATGTAATGAATAATTATAAAGTTATAATAAATGCTTCTTTTAATAAAGGTACCTCTTCCCTCGTCCGGAAAATTGGCTTCGGTTACTCCTATATTCAAGAAAGGAAATAAGCTTGATTGCAATAACTATCGTCCAATCAGCCTGGTTTCTATTGTCGGCAAGGTCATGGAATCGATTATTTCGGAAACTATGTCTGAGTTTCTTTTTTAAGAAAATATCATCCCTCACCAACAGCATGGCTTTATCCAAGGTCGTTCAACGATCATAAACTGTATATGTACGATATAGTTGATGTAGTCTATTTAGACTTCTCCAAAGCTTTTGACCGTATTCCAAAACGTTGATTACTAGCAAAATTGGATCAATATGGTAATTGCGGAAGGTTAAACATTTGGATTCAAGATTTTCTATTCGACAGATACTTCGGGGTTCAGGTTCAGGATACACCAGTAATCTTCCTTTCATTGTATCCAGTAAGGTTTGTGAATCCAACTATTAACCAACCAACATGTTCTTCAACACGATCTTGATACAATATTCAAATGGTCCGCAGAAGTTACTTCCGCTTAACATTGAAAAATGCGTTATTACCCTTATGATCTCTTTGGGTTTAGCTAAAACATAGATCGTGATGATGGTGCACTTTCTAGGATATGAAGAGGTATGGGTTAAAAAATAATTAACAATTTCCACATAGCGGTAAGCGTCTTTTGACTCGAATATATTTATTCATGAAAAATATGCTAAGTGCAAATTTTTACAAATAGTTTGTAATAATGCAAAATATGATATTTTTGATTATAAAAAATAATAATACAGTATAAAACTAAAGAAAATGGAAGCAACAAAATTGTTTACCCTTAACTTAAGTATTTCACTCTAACACATTTCTGATATAGTTCAGATGGAGGAGACCTACAGATTATTTTAAATTTCCAACATTCTTACAATCATTGGCTAGACGGTATACAATTTTTCAAATGTTTGTCCAATTGCTTTTGTAAATTTTAAAATCTTATTGGGTCTTTTATTTTGTTTTATTTTTATATAAAAATTTAATCCAGATATATTTTTTCTAACAAAATGAAACTATCAAAATGAAACGACAAAAAATCTCAATACGTTTTTTGTTTTCTTAAGAAGGT